ACTGCATTACGCTCAAAGGAAACCAAATATTCATCATGTCAAAGAACCCAGATTCAGAACACAAAGAGATAATTTTTTTACTACTAAATTTTATGATAAAAGAGTATGTTATCTGAATATACTTGCAATAAAATAAATATTTTTTTATAGTGTCAGATGTCACATATCCACAAGTAAGCGCGTTGATAAATGCAATAATTATTATAAAAACCAACGAACGTCTTGTCGTATACGAGTATTTAGGCTGGTCCTCGAATGATTTTGTTTAAAACTATTTAACGCAAGCAGTGGGGTAGAAATTATTATTTAAAAAAAAGACAAAACAAAATGCTAGCGAAAAGTACAACAACACTCAACATAAATAAAACAAAAAGAAAATAAAAAAAAAACAAAGAAATACCACCTTAGTATAGAAGTGATAAAAGGAATTTCTATTTTAAAATCTATAAACAAAGCTTAAACAGTTTCATGTGAATAGGTAACATAATTTAATACTTTAATCAACACATAAATTAAACATTAAATTGAAAGAAGCTATCTTTGAACACATAACCTTTGTGTCTAAAAAACAGAAAATGATGAAGGAAACAAAAGTAAAATAATAATCATAATACATTTATGTATCTCAACTTTATTTATGTCGCTAATTTGCCAGAATATAACAATGGAACGTAACATACGTCATAACATTTAGGAAATAAAAAAATGCAAGCTAAAGTAAGAAGTATGTTTACTATTTGCCGAGTGACATTGTTTTAGAACCCACGGCTTCAACACCAATAACCTTAGTTAAATCTTCTTCCAACCGAAGCCGATGTCGCTCACTTCCATGTTGTAAGGAATTACATAGATCTTTCCGAAACGTGACCATGCATACTTTCAACCAAGGCTTTATGCTGCCACGCGGGATTTACAAAATAACCGACTATTGTGCTTATTAAGACGCTCATTGACATAAATGGCGATACGAGTTATTGCTGTCGGTCTCAAACCTTCAATGGTAGTATTGCGGAGTACGCGCGTCGCCTGTATTATGGCGACTGACATGAGCGTTTGTTCGATGTGAGCACGTTACGAGTCGAATATTCGGTACGGCATTACAACGAACCTAGCAGCTCGATGACGAGCACCGAACACCTGCGCGTTTTCCACCCGGCTGTCGTTTTTTTGAGGAATCCCTTTGAATGTTACATTACAAGTCACTTACTAGCGCGAGTATCACCGCGAGCGCACTCGTTGTTCTGTTTACATTGTGAAATTTTTGCGTTTGGTAAAATGCAGTGGAGTCGGACAAAACAATTTTTGTTTAATCTGCCAGTTTTATTCCTCATTTTGATCAAATTTGTTGTTCAAATACGCTTTCTTTTCTTCTTTAAGTAGTAATAACGAATTAAAAGGAACGCAGCACACATCTCTACGTCCGCCTGGAGCACAGTCAAGCGTCGCGAAGATTCAGGTGTCATGAGTATTTGCTCACAACGAACACATGCTCGATGCGAATATTCACAACGAGCAAATGCTTGTCAGTTACCACCTTTAGCGCATAACGCTCTGCACATCGCACAATCAATAGGAGTGACCGCGAAACTGAAGAGCCCCCGTTATTATCGTGTATGAAACCCGTATGCTCTGAAGACACCACATCGCACTCATTCAGGTTCACGCATAATTTCTTGGCAATAGCCAAGATAATATGTGCGGTATTTTCAACCAAGTCTTAGTCCCGTTCCAATATTTGAGACTTTAACTGTGACACCGTCACTTCCAAAAGTCGAAACTTCACAGCGTAGGAAGTCTTTTAATTTGTCTTCTAAGGCTGATATCCTTGTTTCGATGGAGCCAAAAATGGATGAGCATGGTTTCGGCGTCGCTATAGATAGTTTTCTATCTTTTTTTTTGTTGATCTGAGGTTTTGGGTTGTAATTGTATCTATTATTAACCCTTACTGTACCCAAATATCGTAAAAGTCGGGGTACGGGTCGATTAGGTCGAGTATTTTTTAGTGTGACTGCCTCGTTGATCTAGTGGTCCTAAATCACCAATCGCGCTGATCATAAGGTCCTGGGTTGAATCTTACTTAGGTCGGGCCAAAATCAGTTATTGGGTTTTTATGTCAAGAAATAATAGTAGAAGCCCGGAGTCAAGATGTTGTCGGTGTTTCCAGCCCGTGTCTTGGAAAGCACGTTTATTACTGTCCCATGAGACTATGAGAGTGAAATAATAGAGAGCACACCTGTGTTTGCGCATACTGTCCTGCGTAGAAGGCTAGTCTCCGTTGAGACTAGCCGCTATAATCGAAATTCGGTGTGTAGGACGTTATGTGTTATTACGTGCCGACTGTAAAACCATAATACGTCCTAACACAAATAGCTACTGCTCGGCGCAAGCTGAGCAAGAAGACTAAGGCGGCCCCTGCCACGCTATCCGAGGACGATTCAATAACTCACGCTGCAAAGGAGAAAGCTGATCTGTTAGATTTTCTCTTTGTATCCAGCAAGACTTTCGATGACGGGGGACACACCGCCGACCATCCCGCGGTGTGAGTACTCCATGGAAGATGTGTGGGTTACACAGCGCTCGGTTCGCAAAGCACTCCTCTCCCTGGATTTCAACAAGTTGAACGGGTTTAAACGAGTCCCTCATACTGTGCTGAAGACTGTGCTTTCGAGTTGGCACCAGTTTTAACGCGTCTTTTTTGCTACTCCCAAGGCTTAGTCAAGAATTAATGACAGGCAGCTTTGGTTCATCCGATCCCTAAAATCGCTGACCCGTCAAATAACAGGCCTATCGCCATCACCTCCTTGTTTCTCCACAATAATGGAATCCATTATAAATTGCCAGCTCATGAGGCACCTTGAGGATCAATAGCTGATTATTGACCGCCTATACGGTTTTCTTCGGGATCGATTCACAGGCAATCTTCTGGTCTACCTGATTTGTGAGAGATGGGCGGAGATATTAGAGTTCAAGGGGGAGGCATTAGCCAGTAGTTTTTACATAGCGAAGGCCTTCGATCGGGTTTGGCAAAAAGCGCTTCTTTCAAAGCTTCCTTCCTATAAGCTTCCCAAAAATTGTGCAATTGAATCACCAGTTTCCTTGCTGATCGGAGCTCCAAGGTCATAAATAGATGATGAATGATCTGATTACAAGCCTATTAGCGCTGGTGCCTCATAAGGCTGCGTGCTATCACCAACGCTGTTTCTTCTGCATATCAATGATAAGTTACAAACCGGTAACATTCAGTGCTATGCGGACGACAACACTGGTGAAACTTTATACACCGGCCGTGCCAATATTTCTCAGGAAAACGTCATCGAGTACCGGAACAAAATTGTGTCTGAAGTCGAGACTTTGTTGAACAAAGTCTCAGATTGGGTGCGATTTAATCTAGTCCAGTTCAATCTCCAGGAGACCCAAGTTACCGCGTTTACCGCTAACAAAATACATTTGTCGTATCTTCACAGTTTTAGGGCATTCCCCTTGCCGCCTTAGCTAGCATAGAAATCCTCGACGTCGACATATTGAATGATGTGCAGTTTCATGGTTACTTGGAAGGGAAGGCCAAATTAGCCCCTAAAAAGCTTGGCGTGCATTGGAGGGCGGAACTGTATTTTATGCCGGCATACCACTTGCAACTTTATAAGGCATATTTCATCTTCACATGGAATACTGTTCTCATCTCTGGGCTGGCCTGGCTAGGGCACCTCAGTATCAGCTCCATTCACTTGACCAAATCCAGTGAAGAGCGACTCGAATCGTTGACGACCGAATTCATTCTAATCGGCTCGATTCACTGGGGCTGCAAAGAGATGTACCATCCCTTTGCATTTTCTATCGCATCTAGCACGAGGAATTCTCTGAGGAATAGTTTGGATTCATTCCAGCCGTCAAACTTCAAGAACGCGCATCGCATCGAAACTCCCGATACCATCGACACCATCTGGATGCTAGGCAGTCCATCCACCACTGTGCATTGTACTAGGAGTTTTCTTCCTCGTACTCTTTCTTTTGCGGAATAAGTTACCACTAGCGATTTTTCCGGACCGATACGACTAAGGGACCTTCAAGAAAAGAGCTTACTCCTTTCTAAAAGGCCAGCAACGCACCTGCTATTCACCTCGTGTAGCAATTCTTGATGGCCAGCGGTAGTCGGTTACCATCAGGCGAGCCGCATGCTCGTTTGTTCCCTTCTCTATAAAAAGTTGTTCTAGTACAATCATCACAATAAAATGACTTAAAGTAGAACATCTAATAATTTCCATTTAATAGCTTCTAACATTGGTGCTAAGACACAGAAAATAGAAAAATTAAAACCCTGATTTAAAATCTATTTTTTATTCTATTACCTTCGATTGTTATATATGAAACTATTTATTATTATATGAAACTTTCAATTAATATTAAAACCTTTAACCATTCGGGTGGAACACAGATTACCCCCTAATAGGGGTAATCTGTGAGCTGGAATTATATCACAAGGAGTAGGTATCAATCATTTAAAAACTTAACCTATTTTTGTACCCTTAAAAATAACATATTATACGTCGAATATAAAACCTATTTCCTGTTAAAATCGTTTAAAAAGTATTGTATTAAATGCACTACTAATAAATGCTGAAACCATGTTAAACTTCTTCACATCTTTCTTCGTTATTTATTTATAGGCCCTTTAAAGTTAACTGCTGCTTATGCAAATAAAACCACGCAAATTATTTTACAAGCATAATTTTAAACGAGTGCGTGTTCTTACATTACGTTGCAGATGGTTTTGGCAACTCTTAAAATGTACACAGAGCTTCGTTTTTATTTCTTTATTTAGTCTGAGCCATTACGAGCCTCTCAGTAGAGAGTATTATTGTTCTGCTTAAAATCTTACAAATTGTAACACTGGGTTTGTTTATTACAATAATAAAAAAGAATAATAAACAAATGCATCAAAATAAAACCCCTGAAATCCTATGATCTATATTGATCATTCATTAAAAAAAAGAAAATATTATTTATAAACTACACTTGGGATAATATGCTTTTTTCAGATTTTCAGCCAATTTGTTCATAAATTCGAAAGTTTCATAGTAATCTTCTCTCTTTACATTATCCATACCCTTGACACAAATTGCAAGATCCTTGGTCATTATTCCTGATTCAATAGTATTAATGCATACACTTTCTAATGTTTCAGCAAACTTCTTAAGCTCAGTATTATTATCAAGTCTGGCACGGTGTGAAAGACCTCGGGTCCATGCAAATATAGAAGCAATGGGATTCGTCGATGTTTCCTTGCCTTGCTGGTAGAAACGGTAATGTCTGGTAATAGTTCCGTGGGCTGCCTCAGCCACAACAGTTTTACCATCAGGGCTTACCAAAACTGATGTCATAAGACCTAAAGATCCATAACCTTGTGCTACAGAGTCTGACTGAACATCTCCATCATAATTTTTACAAGCCCAAACAAATCCACCTTCAGATTTCATAGCATAAGCAACCATGTCATCAATAAGTCTATGTTCATACCATATTCCAGCAGCCTCAAACTGTGATTTGTAGTCTTTCTCATAAATTTCTTGGAAAATATCTTTGAAACGACCATCATACATTTTTAGAATAGTGTTTTTGGTACTTAGATACAGTGGATATTTTCTGTCCAAAGCAAACTTAAATGAAGAATGTGCAAACTTAACAATGGAAGCATCAGTATTAGACATACCAAGCGCAACACCAGGACCTTTAAATTCATTGAACACATATTTAAGAGGCTTCCCAGAAGGTGGGGTCCAGGTAAGTTCCAGTTTACCTTCTCCAGGAACAACAAAATCTATCGCAATGTATTGATCGGCGTGACGGCTAATAATTATTGGTTTTTCCCAACCAATTACCAGACGAGGAATGTTCTTGCAAATGATAGCTTCTCTGAACATAGTACCACCAAGAATGTTTCTAATTGTAGCATTTGGGCTCTTCCACATTTTTTTCAGCTTAAATTCTTCGACTCTCTTTTCATCAGGAGTGATTGTGGAACATTTAATGCCGACATTGTACTTTTTGATAGCATTAGCACAGTCAATGGTTACTTGGTCTTCAGTTTTATCACGATATTCGATGCTTAAGTCATAAGTATGTAACTCTATGTCCAAAAATGGCAGAATAAGCTTATCTTTAATAAGATCCCAAATAACTCTTGCCATTTCATCACCAAGCACGTCAACAACAGGCCCTGTCTTAATTTTCGACATTTTGATATCTGCAATCAAAATTAAAAATTATGATTCATAAATTTTATATTAATAACATTATTTATTTATATATTCAAAAGTGTTAGTGTTATAGTTATAGGTTGAAATCATACTAGAAGTTCAAAATGTTTTTTCTAATTTAATCTCCATCCTTATATATTGCCTTAAAAGTTTTCGCTATGTAGATATATAGATTAATAGTGAACATTTTAACAAAATTGTCAATTGATAAGTTCTCTTATAATTTCTCCAAGTTTTCATCAGTCAATTCAATTTTAATAATACTTGTTCAAATAAACTACTTCGCTAATATTAATCGCACTCCTAAGCAGTCCAATCATAAGTCGCAAAGTCCAAAGTTTTTGTTAATTTTTTTAAAGTTTATAATATACAATCAGATGCACAGAACAATTTAGTACAAAAAAGGTAATTTTGTTTTTGGGTTAACCCTAACCGTTTTCGAGAAAAACAAACTAAGTTAATAAAGTTACAACAAGCTGATAATCGGTAAAATTATTCAAAATATAATTATAAATTAAATTTTGTAGTTCCCCACCATTATTGTGTATGGAAATATTATTACTCAAGGTCAAAGATCAAAAAAATAGTTGTTCGCGATTTTCAGCAAAACGGTAAGTTTTATCATAAAAATACCCCAAACTAAAGTAGTAGATCATAAAATTATCTACAAAAAATGTAGCAACACTTTTTTCCTACGAACCACCATTTCTGAGATATTACGATTCAAAAATTGTAAAAGTTGTAAACGTCATAATATGCACACTTTTCCACGCCACCTATAGGTAGGGTACTTAGCGCATTTTTTAACGTGGTTTCCACAGAAGGCCTATTCCACGAGTCAGTTATGATCCTGTTTAATTTATAACTATTGCAAAATAATGGAAAATTGCAAAGATTGGAAAAAATTAGATGACGTTGATAGATGTTGTCTCGAGGTTACACTGTGGTGTATAAATGAAGGGACTGGGTTTCATTTTACCTGATATTCTTATAGTTATACCTTATTTATATTTTATATTTTAAGTGTAAGTTAAAATGACCGATAGAGAAATATTTTAACATATATTAAAACTCTAGAGATGTACTCGTATGTACGTAGGGATACTTATACATATTATGAAATTTACAAACTTTTAAATCGTAATATCTCAGAAACGGTAGATCGTAGGAAAAAAGTATTGCTACACTTTTGTAGATAATTTTATGATATACAGTTTTTGTCTGAAGTATTTTTATGATAATACTTATCGTTTTGCAGAAAATCGCAAAAACTAATTTTTTTGATCTTTGACCTTGAGTAAAATTTTTCTATACTCAGGAATGGTGGGAATTACAAAAATTTATTTATAATTATATTTTGAACAATTTTACTGATTATCAGCTTGTTGTAACTTTATGTATCTTCACTCTTATTTTCTGGTCTAATTTGACCGGACTATTATGTATTCATAAAAATATTAGGTTATGATCGAATACTTGGGGAATAATTTTAATACCCGACGTTTCGGGTGCTTTCCAGCACCCATGGTCACGAGGGACTGGAAATGGGGGATGGAATGGAATGGAATGGGGGGGGGGTGCTGGAAAGCACCCGAAACGTCGGGTATTAAAATTAATATAAATAAAACGCGATAAAATCCGTAAAAGTAGTTTTAATCAATGTATAGTGTTCGCGTAAATATAAGAAATCATTAAAGATGGATAAGTGAAAAAAATATCGATATAAAAATATATAGTCATATTTTGCATAATTTTGTTGTTTTCGATGAACTCTACATTTTTATCATTTGCTAATAAGCAAAATGATGCTTAGTTTTTAGATGAGCGGCTACATTTTACCTACCTTATCTTGTACCTTACCATTTTTTTTATTTTTCATTACCTTACCATTGTACGATATGCTAAAAAAATTGCAAAAATCTGACAAACAAGACATAATTCAAAATAATGTGTGATAACGATTTAAACACATTTATGTGTGAAAGTGACATTATTTAAAAAAAAGTATGAATCATGTCTTGTTTTGTCTTGTCTGTTTTACTCGAAAACGGTTAGGATTATAGCTAAAGATAACTCACACGCACACGCAGACATCTGCACACAGTCACCCACCCACGCACAACGCACGCACGCACACGCACGCGCACGTACTCACACGCACACGCACGCACATGCACACACACACACACACGCACACACGCGCACACACGCGCACACACGCGTAAGCACCCGCGCACGCACCCGCGCACGCACCCGCGCAGGCACGCGCGCACGCACGCACGCACGCCCGGCCGCAAGCACGCACACATGCACACACACACTATATATTATTGATTACACATATTATATACTAATGATGATGAACCTCTTAGGTCTTGACGTTGCTAATTAATATTATTACGTTCTTATCGAAATATTTGTATGAAGGTCAAGTGAGCGCTAAAGAAACGATTGCACGATTGCAAGACGTTGTCGATACATATAATGCTGTGAGAAATTATCAATTTTCGTGTAGTGGCGGTGTATGAATATCCATAACATCCCGTGGGTGTCTAGAGGCGACTAGACTTGGGGAAAAGTGTTATTTTTAAATAATCATGACAGTCATTCTGATTACAAAAAGTCACAGTGAAAAATCATCGTGACTTTGTCACGTTGTACATTAGAACGACGAATAACATGACTTTACGAGTATGTATGCATTTTAGATTTAGTATTAAGATATTTAAATCAGTAGTCAATTTTTTATCACCTTCCTTACATAAGCTACGTAGTTATGTTACAAGTACCGTTCTAATTATTTTTGAAATAAACGAATTTCACCTAACCCAGCCGATCAGTCGGTGCTTGGTGTACCATTCCAGTACACGGTATACAAACCTTGTTACACAGTAACAGGGTACGCGTAGTTCCTTTTGTTTGGTTAAATCAGTGACAGGAGTAACGGAGAAAATAGTACGGTGGCGGCGCGGCGCGAAGGAACGTTATTTTGGAACGTCAACTACGTTCAGTCATTGTGACTTTTAGGCTGATTACGATGACTTTTTCACCGTGATGTTATTTATGACTCATGTCTAGAGCAGCATTATCTTCCTAATAACGACTAAAATTAAAAAACTGCGGTTACCTACCCGCTTGCCATTTCATCACCAAGCAACTAAAGCTTGGCAACTATGGCAAATATACCCCATAAGAAGCAATCTATGGGGGAGGTCTATGTTCAGCAGTCGAATTTAATAGGCTGTAACGGTAAGTGTTTGTTATAGTAGTGATAAAATAAATATATAGTAGTAGGAGGAAAAAAGACAAACATTTTTTTTTAATTTAATCTTGCCGAAACGCGGGTGAGATGCTTAGCTATATTTGCGGCAGTAAAATTTTGAGCTCCCTTTATTTCCATGACTCATAGCCTGCTGTGGATTGTTACAACCTGATAATAAAGAATTAATTTTAAGGAAACTATAAAAAGAGGGATGGCGTGATTATATTGTTTGAAAAAAATATTATTATGTGTAAAAAATTTCATTAAACATCAACATCAATCAATATTTATTTCTGAGTCTTGTGTGTTGAAGAGAAATAGCAAGAATTTTCAAGCTGTATTTTATTTAAATTTTGCAGGAAAAGATAATAATATTATTGAAACACCGCTATTTGTCAAACATATTTATCGATCCAATATTTTATAAAAACTTTTTTAGAACAGTATCTATATAAACTAATATTGTGTAATATTTATGAGATAAATGATAGTCACATATAATTTTTATACCATGATATCATACAGAAACTAACTAAAGTTGTAAAAAATTTTAAAAATAAAATATGTTACACGCCTATCATCTTTCTTTAAATTTAATACCTATCACATCTACCTATCATCTACATCTATGTCCGTAGATAAATATATAGGTATTATTAATTTTTTTTAGAATTCAACAACCTGAGAATCACTTATATAATAATATTCGGATGTCATTTTAAACGAATATACTATCAACATTTTAAGTTACGAAGTTCTAGTCAGATGGTTTTAGTATAAGCTATGTTGCAATTTTAAATTATTCCATTTTACCTGAACCAGTGAATTCCAATTAGTCTAGTTAAATCTAGTTTCAAGTTAAATTAATCAAGTTAGGTACTTGATTATTTTAACTTGAAACTTTGATTTCGATATTCGACAGCTACACGTTTAGTAATGTTAATCACCGATTTATATTTATTGTTCCAAAAATTTAATAAAATATCAATAAATAGCTCAAAAAGTTATAATATTGTAATGTATTATTTTATTAGGTACCTTATAATTTCAACGCGTCAGCAGTCAGCACTTAACTAGTAAACTTATCACCACAGAGTACTTTTTATATAGCGAATATACTTAGCACCTAATCAGAGTTGTCATAAAAATCTGAGTTGCCGTATGAGGACATTAATTGCAGTATTTCATTATTTATTTAAAATACCTATTCCTCATTAGTTTCTACTCTGTATAATTTTCTTTTTTATGTTGGTTGTTTGTCTTATGCACAAAATTGAAAGCTTAAACGATAATTTAACGTCGCACACGGTGCTCTTTACTCTAAACGGTTGTCGGTTCGTAATGGTTTATGTTGTTGATACTTCTGTTTTATATGTTTCCCGTTTTCTGAGTCAGTTTCACTCATATTGTTGATTATTATTAACAAAAATACACAGAACATAGGATTATTTCACTTGTAACCGTGACGTATTTTAATCAGCTTAATTCCGAATGAGCTCTAGCGACACAATTATAATTTAAGTTATCATAAGTACTTCGCCTCATTTGCAACCATTTCATTCATTTTAAACAAGAAAAAAGAGATGACATGATAATGAGTTGTATGTTTGCAGTCGGGATTTCGCCTAGTTTGTTATAATTGGTAAGTATGTGCATTTCGTTTCGTTGATTACACTATTGAAAAAACGTTTAGCTTCAACTTATAGCCAGCCAACTG